CTCTCCGTGGAGAATGTGAGTTAATGAGTAGCACCCGTTTACAGCTGAGCATAGGTTACGATGCCTAAAGGTGTGTGGGGAAAGGAGTCCTGAGCGCGGGGCTCTGGGGGGCATTGTCTCTCTCGCCATGGCCGTGATCACGTCCCATAGTGGCCTCCCTCGGACGGGGACCGATGGGAGAGCCGCTGCTGTCCCCCGCACAATTTCTCGTGCATGGATCCTGCAGGAAAGAAAACTAGCACGCAAGCCTTCTCACGTTTGTTTTTAATCGCATTATAAAATGCGGGTGCGACCTTGGCCGGAGCTTGCCTTTTTGCAAAGCATGTTGCCCATTGGCAATCCATGCCACAGTGATATAATGTTTGTCAAGTACTATGTACATCTTTGAGAGAGTTCTCCATTATGCTGCGTCCCGTGTATGCGAACGGAGGAAAGCGTGGGGATGGATGTTGGGTGTGCCACTACCTACACCTACCAAATGAAAATCTTGGTATGTGGTTTTTAAATATAGCCTCCGGCTGCCTGGCCACTGTGTTCCAGAACTAACTGGACACAGCCACTCCTGTAGGTGGAGGGGCCTTGAGGGTGTTCTTTCTCTCTCTCACAATTCACCTGATCCATTGTGTGTGGCCGCAGTCTGCTCGCTGTTATCTCTGCGAGTGTCACTGTGGTGAATTTGCTGATTTGACATTAATGTGCGTGGGGAGCGGTGGTGCAATGGTTAGCGTTCTGCACTACAAACCCAACACTGATTATTATCTGAACCGGTCCTGGGTCTCCCCTTGGTCGACTCGGCCTCAAATGGATACCTGATGCGATGTGTAAACCTCGCCACTGAGTAGACAAAGGCGGTCAAGCGTGATGATGTCCACACCACCCCCTTGTACACTTTGTACAGGGGAACTTTCTTAATGTCATTATTAGTGTCTGTATTTTTTTATTTGACATGTGTATTAGAGAGAAAGGGTTGGTGTATGCATGTGTGTATTTGAACAGTTCTGAGTGAATGGAGAGTCGGGTGCCTAAACAGCACTTGCCCCAACAGTTTGTGGAGATGACTAGGTGGGGGGGGATGTATGTTCGTCTTTGTGTATTTGAGCAACTCCAAGTGTGTGTGTGCATGTAATTGAATGTCTGTGTGTGTGCACGGTGTTTATTTAAACATCTGCGAGTTTGAGAGAGTGGATGTGAAATAGAATATTTCTAGGAGTGCTTGCATGGTTTTGTGTAAAGGGAGTATTGGTGTGCATTTATGAATGGTTGGTATTTTTAAAACTCTTGTATGTAAACATGTTTATGCATGTGGTGTGGAATTGCAAATATCTGTGACATTGAAATGTATATACTGTATTAGTTAGTGTCTGGTGTGTATATCAAAAACTTGTATGTAGAGTTTAACTTGTCTGTCTGTACGTGTGCCGGTTCCCACTCGCAGTTAACATAAATGGCGAATATTTCAATGGGTCCTGAGCCTCCCCTAGGTAGACTCGGCCATAAATGAGCACCCGGTGCTGTGTGTAAACGTCTCAACTGGGGAGACAAAGGCGACCCAACACTTGGTAGTAGCCACCCCACCCCCTCGTGTGGCGTGCCGGCCTTCGTAGATGCTTGCTAACACCACTTGCCCCAACAGTGAGTTGAAGTCTAAGGGGGATATTTAACTTTGGTGTGTAAGAGAAAGTGTGCGTGTTTTGTTTTATATAACTGAGTGTTTGAGTGAACCTCTATGCGAGTGTGCTTCCGTGGTTTTGTGCCGTTCATACAATGCCTGTGCCCCTGTCTGGTGTGTGGCCGTGAATGTTGATTCGCCTCTGCGTTGTTATAGTCTTGGGGGACATTGTTAATGCGGCCGCCACTCCTTGTAGTTAGTTTTGACCTTGAAATGCAGCATGGCCTCCATGACCCTCCTTGTGACGTCCCAGAACCGGATTTGAAAAAAAAATAACAAAAAAATGGAATGTAAAAGAAGGGTAATGCAGAAAGTAAGAGGGCGACAAAGTTTCTTGTAAAATGACCTTCAAGTTTAGCGTGTGAATGTCATCGCCCAAAGCTGGCAGGGAATCCCGTTGGTTGGCGGGGAAAGGGGCATGGCCTCGCCTCTCTTTCGTTGCGATGGGATTGGCTGGTGGGTTTGGCTTCTGGCTTAAAGTCCTGTGAGCTTCACTGAAGCTCTTGTTCTGGCTGGAGAGGCTGTGAGCAGCAGGCACAGCAACCCCCCCAAGTACACGTGCGTCTGCTCGGGCACCTTCCTCGGCCTAACCATGGGGCGTGGGGTGAGTGCTCCCGCGGATGATGATGATGATTATGATGGTAACCATATCCTTGCTGTAATGCCATTTATTTAACTGTTTAAAGTTTACTGGCTTGAACTCGTGTAAGCTCATTTGACCAAATATTATATTGCAACAAAAGTAAAGTTCTGTAGATGTGCATAGTGTGGATGTATGACAAGTCGTTAATGAAGTTGTACTGTATTGTAAGCTTTTGGTCACTTGTTTAAGTATTGTTTGAACAGGTGAATCAAGAAAAGTGTAGTAAATGCTTGGGACATAAATGAAGATAATTGTGATCGCAGTGTTCATAATATTACCGTGTGCCATCGCGGGTTCTAACAAATCACTTAAGTGAAGTTTAAGATTTCGATTTAAAGCTTTCGTGACTGCAGGGATTCATCTTCTTGGTTCTTTCGGTAAAGTCACGTAACTTTACCGAAAGAACCAAGAAGATGAAGTTTAAGAGGCTGAAAGTGAGAGGAGATGGGTAGATGTGGTAGGAATGGCCACACGGAGATGGGAAGAGAGGGACGCACCTGCGATTGGCTGACGGGAGCCGTAAACCGGTCTCTGCGCAGAGCTGGAATAGTGCCGGGTGACGCTGTAGTCGGTTGAACACCGTTCGTAACTACGGGGTCAGCTTGGCGGGATCTAATGTAGTGCCAATCACGGGTGAGTGGAGGAGAATTACAAATGGGGTAACGGCAGGGACAGGTTACGGGGAGGGGCGCCCAGCCGTGGGTTTAAGTGATGTGAACAAAGTATGTTCTGTAACTTCAGAATGGAAAATTCCAATTTGGCTCTGGTGTAGTGGGGGGAAGCTGTGACGATGTGGTGTGTGTGCACATGGCTTAGCATTTGCTTGTTGTACTTCCTGGCTCTGGCCAAACACAATGACTCAGGTTGTGTGTAATCTGGGTTTTGTTCTTCGTTTTGCTGGGAGCAAACCAGTAGTCCTCTAGCCTTGGCTGTTTGAGGCTGGTGTTTGTTTTAGCGTGCACATGGGATTATCATCCCACAATGGGGTCCCACACTGTACGTGTGCGCAAGTCTGATTGGATCTGCGTGTTGTGGTGGGTTGCTCTCGGGCTTGTGGAAAACAAACCAAAATGTCCTTTGAAATTTGAATCCAGCTGTGGTGGGGTTTTTTCTTGTTATTGGATGGGAAAGATTCTGAACCGTTCCAAGTTTATTAAATGCTGTCTTCGCTTGTATGAAATACGTGCCCGACCTTTGAAGCACTCTATTACGTTGAATACCGGTTTAATCGGCTATATTGTACTTAACCGACTTTGTTTTAGAAGTTTTCTTTAGCGGTCGTTTTAACTCTCAACCCTATATCAAATCCCGCTGCTGGGTGAAGACCTTCCCTTGTCAATGTGGACATTGGCATTCTTTGACCAAAGTGGTTATTGTGGTTTGGTGAAATTTGCTTGGGGCGCGGGGGGGTCCACCATTTATCACTCTTGTCACAGATGTTAAAATTTGGCTGGGAATTGAACGCAGGTTTCTTGGATTCATAGCGCAATGCCACTAACCGCTGGCCTCACGTTCTCCACCCGCTTAAAAATAATACGGGCAAGAAAATTGCTCTGTCTGCACTATCCAACATGTGTGTTGCTTGTTGCATTCGTCAGCGGTTTGCGACACACGGGAGGATGGTGTGGGAGGGTGCTGTGCTAGTTGTGGGTTTTGGCCAAAAAACGACCCCATGTGTCTGAACAATTGAGTGCGATGTCACCTGTGTGCAATGTCGACCAAACTTTTGGAGTTTTTTTGTTCTCCCTATTTGCCTCTGCCTTTCCTCCCCATTTCATTTTTTTTGTGTGCACAAAGACTCCATAAGTGTGAGGTGATGTCACGTTGACCTTGCATCGATGGGAATTTGTTCTTGAGGGTCCTGCTAGCATTTTTGGACTTCGTGTACCGAGTTGTACAAAGTTCAGCTTTAACAACTAATGATTATCTTATCCCTGAAGAGCTGAGGGCATGGTGTGCTTGAGAGTAGTGTGAGTCCAAGGAGGTATTTTTCATCCTTGTGCAGAGTTAATGGCATGCAGAGGCTGATAAGGGGTTCCCCTTTTGTCCCTTGCGAGTCCTTCCCCAGGGGGTGAACGCCTTGTGCTGCTGGTGGACACCTCGTGGTTGTGTGCACGGAGTTTAATATATTAGTTCAAGATACTAGTGTAAATGAGTGCCCTGGTTGGGTGTGATTTCAATGTGGTTGTTGGTGTGGTGACGAACTTAATGGTATGTTATCTGTGCCCAAGTTTCTTAAATGCCCTCTCCACCTCTGTCCACTGCTGTATATATGGGACTCACAGTTGATCAGCAGGTCGCCTGGAGTTGGGTAAAGTGGGTTGCACCCACCTCATCCAAGACCAGTATTGAAAAAGATAAGGCCAATTTACCCTCTCTCTCAGAGTTCCTCTGTGGCGCGCCCTCTAGTGGATGCCAGCACGAGCAAGCAATTGCAGGGATTTTGTATCACTTGTGGTGTGCTCGTTGGTCAGCTGTGTAAGAGATATTCAAACGTCTCTCTTACCTGAAGGACGACGGTGGATTGCGGAGCGGGATCTCGCAAATCCCGGGGTCGGCGAGGCTGTTGCGCTCCCTCGCATGTCGGCATGCGACCAAGCATCTCGCTCGCTTGGTCTAGTCGGGACACTGTCGCTGATGTCTGTTGCTCGTTTGTGCGTGTTGCCGTGCGCGCGTGTGTGCCTGCAGTATGGGAAGGATGACGTTCCCAACAAGGTTGAGAAGAAGAGCAAGAAAGACCGTAAGCTGGAGAAGAAGAGCAACATGGATGACTTGAAGAAGGAGGTTTCCCTGGTAAGGCTGCCTGCCATCCTCCATGCCATCGGCCACCTTCCACTGCCCCCCCCTTCCCTTCTCTCACCTCCAGACCCACCATGTGTCGATGTCTTAAACTAGGCCACTTGTGATTTGGCGATTCATGTAACTCCCACGTGTGTGAATGCTGTGTGGTTGTGGATGGCTTTGTCACTGTTTAGCTTATGCGTGTGGTCAAAGTAGCAAGTAAATTTCCACTCTGCTCAGTGCTTCATTAAATTTGCCCCAGATGGGCATAAACGAGTGATGTGGGGGCAGTCTGTTCGTTGCACGGGGTTTTCAGTCGCTGTTTACAACCGTCAGCAAGGGACATGCTTATGAATTGTTCAGTTACCTTTTATAATTACGAAGTAAGTGCGAACAAAATATGTGGGAGGGAGTGGCAGGAGTAGGGGGGGGGGGGCTTTCACTGGGTCGTTGTATATAATCCCATGCCTTCATTAAAATCTGACTAGAGGTGCCTTTTACTCCGGTATCAATTACAACTAACAACCCCAGTGACTCATGCACAATACTGCCGCCTTATTGCCCTTGGAGCTGAAAGGCCGAGTTTTAAAAACTTTCTCAATCTCCGAGGGGGTGCGTGACGGACTTGTTGCGCAAGCGTGGGCTCAAGTAATAGTTTGACACTTGCGCATTAGCGTTGGTGTTTTCCCTCAATATTGACTTTCTTGTTTTGGGATTACTCCCAGCTTGTTGACCCTTTTTATATCTCTTGCGCGTAATAGGGCTCTTCGTGTTAACTATATCAGAAGCGTTCCGTTTAACCAACTTACTTTACCGTCGGGCAGGCCCACGTGCTTTGCTTGTTTGGTCGCGAGCCATACCGCTCCAGGGGCAGGAATGAACCATTGTGGCATGTTAAAACTAGTTGTGCGGTGAAACCCGCCCCGTACATCCGCTGGGCTACCCATCCACCCGGCATTTACTACATTCGTTTGGCACTTAAATGAATACCACGCGATCCGGTTACATTTTGTATGAACTTTTTTCACACCGTACGTAGCCAACCGTACTAATTGGAGGTGCAGGGGGGAAGGACGACAAACTAAACGTAAAAAACAGTTCTAAAAAAAATTAGATTTCAATTTCGAAATCGATTAGCAACACGAGTTTTCCCTATCTAGATTCAAATGGACATGCCTCCAGCAGATTCCTAATATCGGAAGGAAGAGCGTATCCAGATAGCGCACAACATAGATGTGAGTTCCACTGCTAGCAGCGGTTGGGTGACGGCACATCTCATGGCTGTGCAGGTCTCCTAGCAGAGCGGCAGCAGTGCAGTTTGAGCCCTGGTGGAGTGTGGCTGCAACGGGCCTGCACGAGCTAAATATATTTTGGCAACAATGTCCATGTGACTGTCTCCCCCCCCCCCCCCCCCCCACCTCGATTGTCCACTGCCACTGACACCATGTTGTTTTTCTGACCCGACTCGTCTCCTATGTTTCCTCTACATGTGGTGTAAATGTTATTAAAATATACATCTCTATTAACAAAATAGAATGGCTATCACTTATCTATTTCTTTATTTCCGGTGAGTCCGTGTTGAACAAACTGAAAAGAGCAATAGCCGTTTAATGTGGTTGAACAATCTGCAGTGACGGAGCGTTGACGCTCCGTGGGTACGGAGCGTGCCACTGTCGCCTCCTCGATGTTTAGTTCTGCTCGACGCGCTTCCCTCGTCTTTGATCGCTTCGGGCAGCCGTGTCTCTTAACGCCGCACCGCGTGCGCGCGTGGTGACCCCTGCCGAGCTGCGCACTAACGAAGCCCTCCCCTCCCCCTGTCTGTGCCCTGCACATGCGAACCGATGCCTCCCTTCTCCTCCTACTTGGTGCTGCTCCCGGTTTCCTGGCTCCTCCACCTGTTTCCTAACTTCTCCTGTGGGGGGAAAAAACCTCCCGCTGCTCAACGCGGGCGGCAACCGCGCTACTACGCTCCTTTCTCCCGTGCCCCCCCCCCACCTCTCCCATAACTTGCGCTCACTCGCCCTGACTCATGCAATAAATCCCTCTGCTCGTCTGCCCTTTCACACACAACATCTCTGTCACCCTCCACCCCACCCTCTCCGTCTTGTCCTCATCGCTCGTCACTTTCCTGTTTGCGTCAAACCACCTCCTGCCTGCATCTCCACGTCGCCGTCTATCTCACTCACCCCCCCCCCCCCATCTTTATCGCACCCTCCGATCTGTGTAACCCACAACTCGCGCTCACAACGCGCCTCTCATTCCTCTCATCTTCCCATGGGATTGCCCATGCATGGATGCTTGGGGTCATTTTCCATGGTTCGGGGGGGTGGGAGGTTAGACTGAGCACAAGATGTCTGTGGAGGAAGTCTGCCGTAAGAACGGCACGGACCCCGTGCAGGTCTGTGCTGCCCGGTGCGCCGCATGCTGAGTGTCCCGTGTTGTTGTTTTCTGTTCGCTTTTTAAGGACGATCATAAGTTGTCGTTAGACGAACTGCACCGCAAGTACGGGACGGATCTGAGCCGTGTAAGTACTCGGGGAATGGGGTGAGCGGCACCGAAACACGACCATTCGCACGCACCGCGCACATCACGGAGGAGAAGCTCTGTGTGCGTCATGCGCACGGGCACGGCGCGCGAACGCGCTTGCCGTTGGATCGCCTGGTTATTTTCCAAAGTTGCAACTCAGCCTGGGGGTGCTTCCCTTGACACACGCAGTTTTTTCCCTGCTGTGGCGTCGGTAATGGGGCTGTCGCGCACGTGGTCATAATTGACTCCCGAGCTCACACGACCACGCAAAAGAGGCGTGCGCGCGTACGCCAACGGCCGGAGGGCCGCGTGCGTCGATGGATCCCGGTGGAGAGCCAGCGGCGCGCGATATGAGGTGAGCCGGGCGGCTTAGCGGTTCACGAACAAGCGAGGCGATTGTTTGAATTTAATTAAAGGTGACGCTGCGGCGCTCTCGCATTCTACCTTCCACTCGGCCACGTTTGAGCTCCGCTTAAAGTCAGGGGTCACGTGTCATTGGCAGCTACAAAACATGCCTTGTTTCCTTTATAAAATTATTTACGTAAACATTGTGATTTGGAGACATGCGCGCTCGATGAAAGAGCCTTCCTTGATTTGTTTTTGCGGCGTTTACATATTTGGTGCGATGGTTATCGTTGATAGAAATCTTCTTTTCCACACGTGCACGCCATGTTTTCCTCGTGTAGGTCTTATGTAACCAGTACAGGCAGTTTTTCCATTCACAATTGTTGTGTGGGCCATGCTGGAGCATTATGTTGAGAAGCATAAATAAACAAATGCCATTCTCTATCCACATTTGCATGAAAGTTGCTCCAGTCTGTTAGCCTATTGCCCTTGCAGACAAATATTACCAAGCAGCCATATGTTGAAGCAATCCGATGCTGGACCGGCTTGGTCCTTCCAGATTCTGGTAACTTTTAACAATCTCCTTGGTGGGTCCAAAAAGCTAATGGGTTGATGAACAAACAAAATATTTTTACTTGGGTGCAGACGCAGAACAGAGTTCTGCTTGCATATGCTTTTACAAGTAGGTACCGTGTGTTTATTTGTGTGCGTCGTGTGTATGTGCTCGTGTGCGTGCGGGCTACCGCTGCTTCCTCCGTGTCCCCTCGCCCGTGTCTCAGGGCCTGACGAACGTGCGAGCCGCGGAGATCCTGGCTCGAGACGGCCCCAACTCCCTGACCCCTCCCCCGACCACCCCAGAGTGGGTCAAGTTCTGCAAGCAGCTGTTTGGGGGCTTCTCGCTGCTGCTGTGGATGGGAGCCATCCTGTGCTTCCTGGCCTACGGCATCCAGGCCGCCACTGAAGACGAGCCCTCCAACGACAACGTGAGTTCGCCGCTCTGCTGAAGGAAGCTCTCGTGGGCGCTGGCATGCGACGTGTGTCGTTCTTTTTGCCGCCTGCCGAAGTGGACTGGCCCGGGTGGGAGCTTAACGGCCGTGACGTTTCACGTGGGCCCCTGCGATAGCGCGTTTTGACAACTCGTTTTTGGAGGCTCTCGCTCACGATCCCAGTGGCCGCCCTGGTTATTGCTCCGTGTGGTTTTTTTGTACCTCGCCAAACGTGTACCAGTTAAAAACCATGCAGCAACATTGCCCCCTCTTGGCAGGACAGCTCGTGGGTGAAGTCCAAAGTGCCTTCTCCAATAGCCTCGTGTGATAAGAATGGCAGGAATAGCAGTTGTACCTTATACTAATCATTTGTGTGTGTGTGTGCAGCTGTACCTGGGGGTGGTGCTGTCGGCCGTGGTGATCATCACCGGCTGCTTCTCCTACTACCAGGAGAACAAGAGCTCCCGCATCATGGACTCCTTCAAGAACATGGTCCCACAGGTAAATAAATGTGACACCCACCCCCCACCTGGGTCGTGTGTTATTGCATAGGCGTCTGCCTATGGTCTTTGATGGTACCTTATTCAAGGTACATTTTATTCATCATCGGTCAAAGTCGATCCACTTGCTGGATGATGGCCACCCCAAGTTGTCACCAGTTCTCAGCCCTGTCATGTAACAATTCACCTACAAACGAGCCGATTTTTTTCACCTTTTCTCCATCTCCGAGCGGGCATTGCCTCATTTGGTTGCCACTCCGTCCATTTGTCCTACCTGAGCCCATTTGCTTTCCCTATCAGTGAAAATTCTGCATTTGAGCATACGCTGTGTTCCCTATGAAATGCTTTCCCCTTTCAGTCTCGTAATCCCAAGTGTTGCGCCCACGCTTTCCTTTGCGCACTTTGAGTTGTTTTTTAACAAGCACGTTAAACGTGCACTTTTGTAAAAGAGTGCAACGTTGGCACGAAAGGCGACGTGTCGCGTTAAGTCTGTGACGCGTGGCCGCCCCCCCACCCCCTGCAGCAAGCGCTGGTGATCCGCGAGGGCGAGAAGACGCAGCTGAACGCGGAGCTGGTGGTGCTGGGGGACCTGGTGGAGATCAAGGGAGGGGATCGCATCCCCGCGGACCTGCGCGTTGTCTCGTCGCATGGCTGCAAGGTACGCTGGGAGAGCGCCGGGAGCACCAGAGTGGACCACCGGCTCGCTTCGATGCCCACCGTCCACCGGTCGCTTAGTTCATAGTTTCTTATGCTTATATTTATATAGCGCGTTATTCCGTGGTGCTCATCTTAACAATTTGCAACTGGCTAAATAACCCAGACGTTGATTTGTAACTGTTGTTGCCATTTCAAAAAGTTTTTTGCTCTTTTTGAGTTGCGAGGTTCGTTCAGCTGCCACTGTGCTAGAATCACACCTCTAATAAGCCATGCTGGGGTCGAACCTCGGCTCCTACCAACGACTGCACAAGAGAACCTGCCGTGGCTCCCGCCTCATTCTGTGCACCCCTTTTGACATTGCTCTACAGATAAAGCATTCGGCACTTGTTTAACGATTCCATAAAAACTGATTTAAAACGGAGTCTGTAAAGTGTAGTCTGTCGTCTTGGCTCGAGTGATTCATTTGCTGCCGAAAAAAAAAACCTCACGTTAAATTTGTTCTATACTTAAATTGGCGAAATTGCAGCTGGTGAGGATTACAAGTTTCCGTTTGGTGACCCCTGCTCAGCTGTGCTCCCAGTGGCAGAGCGGGGTGGAAAAAGTGCCCCCCCCTTCCATGTGGAGCAGAGGTCACTTGAAGAGATCCCCTAAACAGCAGCAGTTCTGTGGTGGTCCGCTTCCGTGGGTCGTCCTCTATGACAAGAAGGGGCTGCACTGCTCTGCGAGAGGCCTGAATGGGTTCTTCGTCTCACGCCGTGACGCCTCCCGGCACAATCGGAATCACAATTGTGAAAAATATATTTTTTTATGGAAGAATAAACAACCACCGCGCGCCGATGTCTGTAGGGATGAGACTTTTCGCCGCGGCGTGTCTCACCCGGTCGCCGTTCCCTCGCGTGCTACCCGCAGGTCGACAATTCCTCGCTCACCGGAGAGTCTGAGCCTCAGAGCCGCTCCCCCGACTTCACGCACGACAACCCGCTGGAAACTCGCAACATCGCCTTCTTTTCCACCAACTGCGTCGAGGGTGAGTGTCGTGTGCGCACAGCACGGCTAGAGGGGGTGCGTCTGCCGAGTGCATCACCGTCCACCTCTCCTTTTAACCTGTTATGCACTCCCTCGGCATTGTTTCAATAGACATTGAGTCGACGTAGCTCGCTACGTGATCCCGATACGAGGCGAAGGGTGGATTGTAGTGGCATGACCATGAGTTGTTGGAATGCTGTGGTGACTGGGGCGTCTGGTTGTGCTGCAGGCACCGCTCGTGGGATCGTCATCAACACCGGTGACCGCACGGTCATGGGCCGTATCGCCACGCTGGCCTCCGGGCTCGAGGGCGGCCGCACTCCCATCAACATCGAGATCGAGCACTTCATTCACATCATCACCGGCGTGGCCGTCTTCCTCGGCGTCTCCTTCTTCGTCCTGTCGCTCATCCTCGGATACAGCTGGCTGGAGGCCGTCATCTTCCTCATCGGCATTATCGTGGCCAACGTGCCCGAGGGTCTGCTGGCCACCGTCACCGTGAGTTTTTAAGAGACCGCTGCGTTGCCAGCCCTCCCCGTCTCCTCGTTTGTCACCAGTGGGCGGTGACCCGGCCCGAGTGGTTGGCGTGTTCGCCGCTCGCTGCAAATATTCATGATTCGAGCCCAGCGGCCGCCCTGGTTATTTCTGCCATTGTGTAGTAACCATAAATATACCCACCGTCTTCACGGTGGAAGTTATGTGAAAGAGCTGCCATTGTAGGCTCGCATCGTGATCTATATTTGCCAAATTATATGGAATTACTCGGACGTTACTTAATTGGTAAACACCACGTAGCAACATTGCCCCCTACTGGAAGACTTCTAAACACCCATTTTCAGGCCGATGCTGCGTGGTGGACCTTTTGCTGCAGAGCCATCTGCTACTGGGAGCTCGCCTTGGCTAGACTGCAGCAGGGCATCGGAATGGTGGAGATGAAATGTAGTGAAAGATGTGATGTAATGCGAATACTTTGACTGCAGAGGAGAATCTTTTCTAAATGCACACGTGCGTGCACTCGCAGGTCTGCCTGACGCTGACGGCCAAGCGCATGGCTAAGAAGAACTGCCTGGTGAAGAACTTGGAGGCTGTGGAGACGCTGGGCTCCACCTCCACCATCTGCTCCGACAAGACGGGCACCCTCACGCAGAACCGCATGACGGTGGCGCACATGTGGTTCGACAACCAGATCCACGAGGCGGACACCACGGAGGACCAGTCCGGTGAGAGAGCGCGCGCGAGCTCCGTACGCGGGGTGCAGGGCGCCGTCGCGACGTGGCCGCACCGCCGTGCCCGGGCGCGAGTGACGCGCACACTGTCTCGGTAGCACGTCCCCGGAGGACTTGTGAGCCCACGGGATGTTGGGGGAATGCGGCGGAGTGGAGGTGCGAGAGATTTGCTCAACCGATGCCTCCACTCTGCGGTCCGTCGCGTTTCTTCTCTGATCTGCCAGGTGGTCGTGAGTGATTGGTTTCGGCCCAGTCACCGATGACTGTGCTAAGAAATTTGGTTTTAATTTCCGGAGAATAAAAAAATATTGATTTTTCTTGAATGCAACAGGCGGTGCTCTTCGTGGAAGAACGGATGGGGAAATGCTGCCCCCTGCTGCTTGAACCGAGGGTCAATTTGAAGGGATCTCGGAAGTAATTCCTTTTACATCAGCTCCTGTAATGCGAAGGGTTTAAACCGCTGTGCGGGAGTCCGAATGCATTCCTCGTGACACAAGCACCAATAGCACAAATTGGGATGAATCCGGTGTGGAAATGCGAGCGCCCCGTTGACGTTTGCTCTTGGGGTTGTGCCCTCGCGACAGGAACGGCGTTCGACAAGAGCTCGCCGACGTGGACCGCCCTGGCGCGTGTGGCGGCGCTGTGCAACCGCGCCGTGTTCCAGGCGGGCCAGGATAGCGTGCCCGTGCTCAAGGTGGGTGGCCCCCCCCACCCCCTTTTCAATGCTCGTCTGATCCGTTGCATGCGACGTCGGCTGCACGGCTCCGATTCTGGTTATTTATCCAACGCAGCAGCAGTGCCGGGCTGGCCCGGCGCAGGCCCTGGTACGGCTCGGTCGTGCGGTGGAAAAGACTCGACAAGAGTGACGCGCTAACGACGCGTCATTTAATTTTCCTTGACAGCGCGATGTGGCCGGTGACGCGTCCGAGTCTGCGCTGCTCAAGTGCATCGAGCTGTGCGTTGGCAACGTGCGCGACATGCGTGACAGGAACAAGAAGATATCCGAGATCCCCTTCAACTCCACCAACAAGTACCAGGTAGGGGCACTGCCTACTCTCACACTCCCCCTGACTCTCCCTCCCCGCTTTTCATTTGCCATTGCAAGTGATCGTACGTAAAGAGAAACATCCTCAATTGACGGTCGAGACAAGTGTGAGAGCACTACCCTTTGGTGCCAAGCCCCTAAGAGTCCTTCCTGGCAAAACCTGCGAGCGTGTCCCCGAGTCTCGACATTACCGGTTAATCTGTGGCCGCCCCCTTGGCCTCCTCTGCACGTGAGAGCCCTGTGAGCGGTCTGCCAAGGGGAAGCAACGAGGAGATGTTTCCAAAGTGCCGTTCCCATATCGTGCAGGTAGCGAGGCTCGTTGTTGCCGACGGTGGATGTAGGCGCCTCGGTGTGCATTGTTAACATGCGTGTGTGTGCGCGCGTGCGTCAGCTGTCCATCCACGAGACCGAGGACGCCAGCGACCCGCGCTACCTGCTGGTCATGAAGGGCGCCCCGGAGCGCATCCTCGACCGCTGCTCCTCCATCATCATCCAGGGCAAAGAGCAGCCTCTGGACGAGGAGCTGAAGGAGGCCTTCCAGAACGCCTACCTGGAGCTGGGAGGGCTGGGCTGAGCGCGTGCTGGGTGAGTTGAGGGCTTGCACTTGGTGTGTGTGTGTGCATGTTTCGGGGAAGGGGTCGTGTGCGGTGAATGGGAAGAGCTGTGATCGCTGAGATACTCGTACGGCCTCGCTAGGTAGGGTGCACGGGCAGCGTCAGCGTGAGGCCACATGCCCCGCAAGTCTGTTAGGGCTATCCAGGGGATAATTGTCTTGTTGCGTCTCCCCTCCGAATTGTGTCGTTCCTTCCCTTGTCCCCCACTACCGCAGGATTCTGCCAGTTGTACCTGCCCATCGACCAGTACCCCAAGGGCTTTGCCTTCGACACGGACGACGTGAACTTCACCACCGACAACCTGTGCTTCACCGGACTCATCTCCATGATTGATCCTCCCCGTGCCGCCGTGCCTGACGCCGTGGGGAAGTGCCGCTCCGCCGGCATCAAGGTGTGGCTTTGCGCCGTGTAATCGAGCGTTAACCCCCCCCCACTCCATTTGTGCAGGTTGCATATTATATATGTTGGAGAGAGGGGGGTGGGGGTAAGTCATCCCACCCTGGGGGGAGGCCGGGTGCCGGGATGACCACCGTTTGTAAACGGGGGGCCTGGCTAAACGAGTACTCGCAACGCAATCGATTACAACTCTTGAAATAATCAACCTCGAGTCGATCAATTTGCCCACTCGTCCCAACTCGCGTGTCAATCGACCGGTTTGGCTCCGTGCCGGTGGTCGGTGTGCGTGGTTTTCATCGTGTTTCTAACAATGGCACCTCGTGTTGCGGCCAGGTCATCATGGTCACCGGTGACCATCCCATCACAGCCAAGGCCATCGCCAAGGGGGTGGGCATCATCTCCGAGGGCAACGAGACGGTGGAGGACATCGCGGCGCGACTCAACATCCCCGTGAGCCAGGTCAACCCCAGGTGAGCGTGGCGGCTCAGCGTTCACTCGCTGGTGAGCGTGCGGTTGCCCGTCGCTGTGGGGAGCGGTGGTGCAGTGGTTGGCGCGCTGCGCTACGAACCCAGCGACCAGAGTTGGATCCCCGCTCATGACCAACACTAGTGACAATTACCTGAAACGGTCCTGGGCCTCTCCTAAGTCGGGTCGGCCTCAAATGAGTCGCTGGTGCGTTGTGTACATGTCGCCACTTGGGAGACAGAGCCGGCCCGGTGTGGTGTTGGCCACCCACCCCCTAGTTTGCCGTGGCCGTACCGGCCTTCATCGATGCTCGCTAACAGCATGTGCCCCAAAAGTCTGTTAAGGTTATAACTGGGGGTTTTTGTTTTTGGTTCGTGTCGGTCGGTAATTTAATATCTAGACTTGAGACTTCGAAAGTTGGGAGATGCATGCTCTGTCAACCACGTGCTGATGCTCTGCCTCCATCCTGCCCTGTGCTGCTCCTGCTGCTGTGTATTGGTGCTGCCCTCTGCTGTGTGACGACGCTTTGTTGTGCTGCGCTCTCGTCCTTCTGTGCCGCGCAGAGACGCGAAGGCGTGCGTGGTGCACGGCTCGGACCTGAAGGACATGACGGACATTCAGCTGGACGACATCCTGAAGAACCACACGGAGATCGTGTTTGCTCGCACCTCCCCCCAGCAGAAGCTCATCATCGTGGAGGGCTGTCAAAGACAGGTGCTCACACACACACAGACGCGCTGGCAGACGGGTGCGTGTACACTCGCACACTGCACTGCCTCAAGCAGAACCAAACCCTCTGGCACCGACGGCCGTGTCAAGCGGATGGTCCTGGCATTTGTTTGACGTGTGTGTGCCCGCGCGTGTCTCTCTCCATGTCTGCCTGCAGGGTGCGATTGTGGCCGTGACGGGAGACGGTGTGAACGACTCGCCTGCGCTCAAGAAGGCCGATATCGGCATCGCCATGGGTATCGCGGGCTCTGATGTGTCCAAGCAGGCGGCCGACATGATCCTGCTCGATGACAACTTTGCCTCCATCGTCACCGGCGTAGAGGAGGGTGAGTGACGGTGCAAATTTCATCACCGCCACTTCCATGATCTGCTTTGCCACTGGCGATACCGGCCGTCATGCTGTGTCTTGTCGTTAGATGTTGGGTGGCTCTCCGGCAATCGTCTGCGGGGTGGAGAGAGGCTGCTCCTGTGCACGGTTAGCTACGTACGGTGCGAAAGAAGTTCTACCTACAGAGTGGGGCCAATTCCAGCGCTGACCGTTGTTTGTGTTTCAGGACGACTGATCTTCGACAACCTCAAGAAGTCGATCGCGTACACGCTGACGAGTAACATCCCCGAGATCACGCCCTTCCTCTTCTTCATCCTGTGCAACATCCCCCTCCCGCTGGGCACCGTCACAATCCTGTGCATCGACCTGGGCACCGACATGGTGAGCAGTGGCCCCCGCGGCGCCAGCGCGCACGGCAGCGCATCTCGACGCCAGCGGTGGCATCTTGGCATCTCCGGAGCTGCGCGGACATTGAATCCCGACCCCGGAGCCCGACCCTAACCGCGACGCGTTTGACGTGATGATGCAGGTGCCCGCCATCTCCCTGGCGTACGAGGCGGCGGAGAGCGACATCATGAAGCGGCAGCCGAGGAACGCGCGCGTCGACAAACTGGTGAACGAGCGGCTAATCAGCATCGCCTACGGGCAGATCGGTACGCGGGCACATGACCCCATCTTCCACGCGACGCACACGGACACCGCTATCTACCTACGAGCACAGTGACCGTACTGCAGAGTACATCTTGATGGGGTACTGAGTGCCTGCCATCTATCTCCCCAAAGGGGACCCCTTTTACCCACCATTTCATGTCCATCATACCAACTTTGATCAACAATTACCATTTGTGGTTAGGGGTGGGGACCCTTGTGCAGTTGGTAAGGAAGCTATAATCGTCAGCTACCGGACAACGGCAGCGCAGATGGGCGAGGGAGTCGTCGTCCGCTCTTCACCACAGACGGCAGCTCTCATGTTCATGTCCTGGTTGAGAGGGCGGCACCCTGGCTTACCGAGGTTTAGCTGTGCGGCTCCCAACTCCTGTACCTACGCGGGCAGCTCGGGCATCGCCTGCAGATTTCCCCGTGGTTCCGTGACCCTGATGGAAGTCTCTTGGGTGCTCGCAGTCTCGTCTTGGCAGCTACTGATGTTGCTCTCAGAGTCACGCAATTGCAGGGCTGCACCTTTGCTTTTGTCATTGCTGATCTCTAACTGTGCGTGTGTTTGGCCCCAGGCATGATCCAGGCCCTGGGAGGGTTCTTCTCCTACTTTGTGATCCTGGCTGAGAACGGGTTCCTGCCTTGGAACCTCATTGGCATCCGAATCAACTGGGATGACAAATCTCTCAATGACTTGGAGGACAGCTACGGCCAGGAATGGGTAAGTGTCGTCGTCATCGTAATTATCCATACCCATTCACGTGCAGTGTTCTGTCTGTGACGTGAAGAGTAAGTTGTGTGCATACATTGGCCGTCTGTTACGATTTCACTAAGAGTTGAGTGATATAAACACTGCACATCAGATGGAAAGAGTCCCAGATAACTCTTGAGGCCTCTTTGAAGATGCCAACAAATTGTGGTTTTGTAAAGCGTCTAAATATAACGACCCTCGAGACACTCGTGTGCTGGCAAGGTGCCACGTACACATTGCGTGCTTGTGTTTGCGCGCCCGCGTGTTCCAGACGTACGAGCAGCGCAAGATCGTGGAGTACACCTGCCACACCTCGTTCTTCGTGAGCATCGTCGTGGTGCAGTGGGCCGATCTCATCATCTGCAAGACGAGACGCAACTCCGTGTTCCAGCAGGGCATGAAGTGAGTGCCGCCTCGGCTCTCGCGCGGACGCTCGTAAACGCGGCGCTCCTTCGTGCGACCGCACCACCGTCATCGCGATTGGTCGATTAACGAAGTCGCGCGGCCTGTCCATCGTCAAGCGGCCGTGAGGGAGGCCCCCTGCTGACGGCTGCTCTGTCACCCTCCCAGGAACAAGGTGCTGATATTTGGGCTGTTTGAGGAGACCGCCCTGGCCGCCTTCCTCTCCTACTGCCCGGGCATGGACGTGGCCCTGCGCATGTACCCGCTCAAGTGAGGGCCAACCCACTCGCTCGCTCACTCACTCGCTCGTCTGTTCATAAGCCAGTGTTGTACCTTTCATCATCAACCATGGTCAATCCACTGCTGGATGAATGCCTCGCCAATCAGTCTCCATCTTCCATGAACCTACGATGTAATGACCCACCACGCACCCTCGACATGACCACGTTTCCTTGGCTCCATCTCTTTGCTAGACGTCCCCTGGCCGCGTTCCATTCTTTAGCCGCCACTCTGTCGATATTTCTCGCCACCATCTCTTCTCACCATGACGTGTCCTGCCAAACACCACATTGCTATTTGTAGCAGTTTGCATGATGTCATTAACCTGGGTGTATGTTCTCTTGAGCGATGCGTTCCCTCTTTCTGTCTCATTGTCATTCTTGGCACGAATCTCTCCGTGCTTCTAGACGCACTTTTCCATTTCTGTTGCACTCTGGTTTTGTTAATGCTCGTATTTTTCTGACCGGTGTCATAACAGGAAGCGCGCAGCGAGTTGCACCTTTTTACTTGTAGAAACGCAGAGGATGTGTGCACACCTCACAATCACGTGTGTGTGTGTGCAGGCCGAGTTGGTGGTTCTGCGCCTTCCCCTACAGTCTCCTCATCTTCGTGTACGACGAGGTGCGCAAATTCATCCTTAGGCGCCATCCTGGAGGTGAGTTCACACAGCGAGGGCCTCGCCACATTCCCAGACTGCGGTCGTGTTTTGCCTCCTGCAGAGAAGAATAGGTGCTGGGGCGGGTGGGGGGGTCTCACAGTGGTCGGCGCACTGCGCAAAGAACTTTCCAACTTGAGTCTGATTGCCAGCCACGACCGACCATCGGTGGGGAGTGATGGCTGAACAGATTATGCCCCTCCCCCACTCTTCTTACCTATCTGTTCATGACTGTCATGGTGAAATGGGCAAAACCAATCCCCACGACTGGGGAGAGCCCCTTTATTTGTGGTGCTTCCAAAAGGGGGCCGCCCATAATTTGATAACGAGGTCAGGTGTCGGGCAGCCTGCTGGTGTCGCGGCTCTGCCTCGTTGCACTCCCTTGGCAGGCGTTGTCCCCCTGTGTGTGACTGTGCGGCCGTGTGTTTGTCTTTGTCTTGTGGGGAGCGGTAGTGTAGCGGTTAGCGCGCTGCGCTATGAACCTGGAGACCCGGGTTCGATTCCCGCTCACGGCCAACACCAGTGGCGATTATCTGAACCGGTCCTGGGCCTCCCCTAGGTCGACTCGGCCTGAAATGAGTACCCGGTGCGGTGTGTAAACATCGCCACTGGGGAGACAAAGGCGGGTCGGGCTTGGTGCTGGCCACCCACCGCCTCGTGTACCATTCCGGCCTTCATAGGTAGCTCGCTAACAGCACTTGCCCCTACAGTCTGTTAAGGCTACACGGAGATCTTTGATCTTTGTGTGTTTGTCTTTGTCTTGTGTGTGCCTGCAGGTTGGGTGGAGAGGGAGACGTACTACTAGACGACGCAACCGCCACCCCCAGCCCCCTACACCCTGCAAGGGCCATGCCCCAGCGCTCCACTCACTAAATGTGTCAATTGCCAAACTAACATTAAACGTTTGTTTATTAAATACTGTAAACCTGCCTTCAGTAGCTGAATTCATTGTTAACGTGTTTATATAGAGTTTTTAAAATACAGTGCCGTGGGGTCGTATTCTGCTTTGTCATGTGCAAGTCGAAATATGAATTGAGAAAATAAAATCGTCAACAGGTTTACAGTATTGCAGCTGCCAATTTATAGAGCCCCTTGCCTTTAAAGAAGCATCGATTGGACAGGAGCCATGGACCGATCGTGGCTTGTAGGACCCAACCCGGTGGCTTTGACTCTGTGCTCAACAGGGTCAGTCACTCCCATCACAAACAGAGTGAGAGAGAGAGGAGCTGCATGTGAACCAGACCCTCGTGCCCTGCACTTATGTCGTGTGGTAACTGTGCCGTCGTGTGTGCGTGACCGTCACTTCGTGGGGCTGCGAGCGACTGGCAGCGGGACCCATCTTCGCGCAAACTGTCATCAATTTGCGTGGGGATGGGGGGAGGGGTGGGGGTGGGCCGTTCAAAAAGTGTGCCCCTGAGTTCATAAGAAAAAGTCTTGATCTTGCATTGAGTATTATGGACTCGTCCTGGAAAGCTGAGGGGGGCGCCAGATGGGTGGTGCTGCCTTGCGTGCGAAGTCTGTGGATGACGCCAATACAGTGGAACTAAAAAGTGGCACCATGCGTCTGGCCGCCTTTTGTTGTTTCCACGGACCATTTGCTGCCCCCCACCTAGTTTATTCGGTGGTATTGTGTTGAACATTTCAAGTAATAAAATACAAAACCGTTCATCCCACGATGTTGTTTAGTCCGCTAGTGAGCTGTCTGTGAGTTAAGTGGCCACATTTGTGCCATTTTTTAAAACCCCGTGTGTCCGTTTCTACACAAGGAGGGAGCGCGTGTGCCTTGGCTTCACAGTCAGCTCTTGACCGGCGTAGCTCCCACTCACAGCTGTTAGCCCACGTGGCCTACAGCTGCTGTGCGTGCACGCATCACGTGCTCGCGTTCCTCTGTGCGCTGGCGCGGCCACGTGGCCGGCGCGAACGCAGAGTGGTCAACGTTCGAAAAGCGCACACAGCCTTGGGAAGCCGAGCGCGCACGCGTGCCGTGTACCTTCCAACGCATGTACAACACACACTTGGTGTGAATCGGCCGTTTTTAACAAATTTTAATACATATCGTGGTAGTAGATTGGTACAGCAAAGTTTTTATCAAAACGTGCATGGAATCTTGTCTGTTCACTGTCTTCCTTAATATTTATTAATAAAGGTTGCAACCATTGCTCAGTGCAATGCTGTTTGTGTCGTCAGCGCCTCGTGGTCCTGTTGGTCATTGCAGATGCGTGTGTGCAGGCAACAACGGAGAGGAGGAAAACGCGAGATGAGGTGGCCAAGTTGACAAATGTCACGTGGCTCTCCCTCTGGCTGAGGGTTATTTTAGAGCAACGATTGAAAATCCCCTAGGGCCCACGACTTGATGGTTGTTCAACTTGGGTGCTGATGCCACAAGGCCTACAAAACTGCATCGCGACCGTGCGCATGGAATATTTCGCATGAGGCCCCCACACCTCGAGGCCATGCCTCGTGAACGGCACAGCTGAGATGGAACAGGACCGGGCCTCTGTGTGGATGTCGCCGGCTTTCCTCCACTCGCACAATAACTTGAGCTGGAAGTGGGAGAGCGCTCGGCTTGAAGGAGGCGTGAACCATCGAGGGCGACGGAGAAGAGGACGTGAGGTTGGTCCCTGTGGCCTTCGCGCTGCACGGTGACCTTAGAGCAGCAGTAATGTGTTGGAGAAACTACACTTTTTATTTTATCCGGTTCAAGTTCAAGTTCATTTATTAGGTATAGCCCTGTGAGCCATTCAGCTCTTGAATCGGGTGCAACCGCAACAAACAAAAAACAAAAACATGAACAAAAAACATCTTAAAGTGAATATGTGACTAAGTGCAAACAGAAAATCCAAGAAAAGAGCAAAAATATTGCAGAAAAAACACCGTACACCAACGCTGTGTGCAAAAATTCCAGTGGGATGCAAGTCAAACAACAACAACAACCACAAGACCGCTTAGATTAAGGCCATCAGTCTAACTCTGTACTACAACAAACAAACATGGCTAAACCAATACACTTTTCGAAATCACCAAAATAAAGCCATGAAAGCAATGAAAAAGCAATCATAGGAACTGTGACGGAATTTTCACAATAAATGGCATAAACAACATGTACTACCAAAACCCTGCAGCCATAGCTGGCTGCATGAGTCACTCCACAACAGCAGGAGCATCAATCGGAGTATTGTAAATTTTCAATGCACCTTTAAGATCAGCACACTAAATCAAAACACAGGTCATACTTTGTAGCGATCATCCGGAGCGAAACATTTTATTTTAGGTCACTGAATAGCACTGGCAGCTAGGGGTGTACAACTCCTCTAGAGCAGTTTTGAGTGAAGATCTCATAGGTAGTGACTCAAGTTTCAATTTATTTGCAACAGCATTCCAGACCCTGGGGGCATCAATAGCAAAGGCCCTTCCTCCAGTATATGTACGGCAATAGGGAATATTAAGCTGGTAAATGAGTGTAGACCTTAGGTCAAATTTGTTCTTTGAAACAGAGACGAGATCCAGCAGGTAATCTGCAGATTTTTTTGCAAGTACATCATGAATAAATAAGATCTGGTGCACAAGCCGTCGAACATTCAGAGATGTTAAGTTTGACCCAATGTAGAGATCACAGTGGTGAGTCCTATATGGGCAGTTCAATGCAAATCTTAAGGCCGAGTGATATATTGAGTCAAGCTTCTTCAGTACAGTACTTGGGGCTGATTTATACACAATGTCACAGTAATCAAGTAGAGGCAGTATGGTAGCTTTAATCAATTCCAAACGGAACATAGGGGGGAAGCAGTGCTTGTGTCGATATAGAAAACCAATTTTAATTTTTGTCTTTTTCCCAATATAATCAATGTGATCTTCAAAATTCAGTTTTGAATCCAGGATGACCCCAAGATACTTATAGATCTTGACTTGCTCTATTTGATCATTATTTAAGGTATGTAATTAGGGAAAAATAACTTCCCGCTTTAGTCCTGGTGAGAAGCATAGCACCTTGGTTTTGGCAGGATTTAGGACTAGTTTAAGAGCAACTAGCTGATGTTGTAGTTTGTTGAAATCACTCTGGAGCTTAGCAATCACGTCATCCGGAGAGCGGCCAGCAGTAATTAGTACCGTGTCATCTGCAAAAAGATTTACCCTGGAATAATCCAGTTCAGTGCCCAAGTCATTTACATAAAGAGAGAACAAGAGGGGGCCGAGAATGGAACCCTGTGGAACCCCTTTTGTTATCTTAACACTGTTTGACCTCCAACCCTCTGTGAATACAGTTTGGGTGCGAGAAAAGAGGTAATTTTTTAACCATTTTACTGTGTTTTCGGAAAAACCGAGGCAACTTATTTTACTAAGCAGGATGTTGTGGTCTACTGTATCAAAAGCTTTGGACAAGTCAAGAAAAAGACAGGCGCAGTACTGCTTATTATCAAGGCTACTGTAAATGTGATTCAGAGAGTCTAATGCAGCAGATGTGGTGCTGTATTTTTTTTCGGAACCCAGATTGTTTTAGATGTAATAGATTGTTGGCGGACAGGAAACTGCTAATTTGGTAGTTCAATAATTTTTCAAAAATTTTCATCAACGGGGACAAAATTGAGATAGGTCGGTAGTTATTTGGATCATCTTTAGGGCCCCCTTTGTGAAGTGGACGAACATAGGAATGTTTCCATTCTAGAGGAACTGATGCTTCTTTGATGGACAGGTTGAAAATATGGGCTATAGGTTTGTATATTAGGTGACCAACACTTAGTAGAGCAAAGACGGGAATACTATCTGCTCCGGTAGAGGAGGACCCTTTGAGGTAGGACAGTTGTTTCAGAACATTACTTTCGTGGATTGGCTGAAAACTAAATTCGCTTAATGTTTGGACAGGAGTGTAGGAATTTGCATGAGCAGGGGTGACTCCCAATACATTATCAAATAGGGTACCAGCTTCAGAAAAATGAAGGTTAAAATTGTCAACTATTTTTTGGGGATCTGAAAAATATTCCCCATTTCGGTTAAGCTGAACGGGCAGATGATCTGTTTTGGATGCCTTTTCGATACATTTGATTGTTTTCCAGAAAATCCTGGCATTTCCATGAGATTCAAGGAGAGTGGAAGAGAAGTAGTTATTTTTTGCATGCCGTATTTTTTTGACGCATCTATTCCTTAAAATCCTGTATTCTAGCCAGTCATTGACCAAATTACTTTTCTGAGCACATGCCCAAGCCTTGTCCCTAGTTTTCATGAGCTTTGTAATCAAAGGATCAAACCATGGTGGACGGTTGCCTTTAGTTTTAAATTTAACCAACGGAGCATGTTTGTTAAGAATTTGGAGAAACGTGTACCTGAAGGTCTCCCAAGCCGTAGTCAGGTTTGGAATATCACAGACCTTGTCAATATCCGAGTGAAGCACATCATTAGTAAATGCCTGAGTGCTGAAGTGTCTCATGGAGTGCTTCTCAACCAATTTAGGAGGGGCTTTGGGTCTGGCTGATGATCTCACCCCAAAAATGAAGGAGTGATCACTAAGGTTATTACCTAGAACACCAGTCAGTGCGAAATTGTGAGGGGCATTTGTCAATAGGACGTCAAGCAGAGATGACTGTCCCGGATTTTTTAGGTTTGGTCTTGTGGGGACATTTATTAATTGAAACAGGTTAAATTCATCTGCAAAATTTGTGGCCACGGCCGGCGGGTTTAGCCAATTCCAATTTAGATCACCCACTAAAACTATTTCGCTTTTTTCAGAAGCGTCCTGGCCACACTGATAGTTCAACGAAGTGGCCTTATCACGTGGAAATTCATGGTAGAAAAAATTCTAAACTATTGTTGATTCTTCATGTGTCAGGGAAAACCCGGATATAAATCCACGCGACCACGTAAACTCCAAATATACAGCAGCAGGCGTCAGGGTCGGGATCGAACGACCTCCTGCATACCAGGCGAGGGAGTTAACATTTCATAGCCACCGTGGAAAAGCCGACGCGGGGCAGCCGCTGCCCAAAAGAGCAGCACGAGGTGCCCCCCCCCCCCACCCCTTCACGTGGCCAGCCACTCCAGGGTTGGGCGAGGTGAGGGCTTCTGGTAGCCTCTGCTGCCCCTATCGGTTTCCCGAGCCGCGTGCAGACGCGTGGATACAAACCACTCGATCACTGCCTGTGGAACGCGAGTCGATCTCGCCCACACACCCGGAAATGCAACGGATGGAGATAAAGGCTTCATGATGCACAACTTCAACTCGGGCTGCACGGGCACCTTGCCTGCTGCACTTCCTGTCACTCCACCGCTGGATGACGGCCTCCCCACGCCCCGCGGGCCGTGAGAGGTATTCCACCATGCTGCCCCACGCCGATCGGTGCGGCTTGGTGGTGAATGTGAGCGCAGTGGATGATGGGACTGCACTGCCCTCTGTTGCTCACAAGCGGCCAAGCGAGACGTCAGCTATTTTGTTGCTGTGATGTGAAGAGCGAATGTTGCCGAAGTACTCTTAAAGTATGCACGCTGCATGCTTTTAATCTTAGAGCCGTGTTATCGACACGTCCAGTAAGTCCTCGTTTAACGCGGTAGAAGATGCGTGCACGAGCTTCTACAGAGCGTCGTTTTATTATGTCATGTTGGAGTGGAAAAACAAATATCCCTAAAATAGCGTCAAAGTTGGCAACCCCTCCTACCAAGCAATGCAGCAGCACCTGCACCCCCCCCCCCAGCTTGGGCCTGGTGGCCACCCACCCATCATCCAAGCAGGATCCGGGCTCAAATGCCCTGCTTCGCATTCCGAGGCCTGGCAACCTGGAGCGCGCATTTGACCTGCTCCACCCTGCACTGTGAAGGGTTACACAAGGCCGTGTTCACATTAAATGGACCACAGCATTGGAAGAATAAGATTCAACAAGTAGATATTTTCCCCAAGTTATTATTGGGCCAAATTTGCGGAGATTTCGACTTTTTATATATATATACCTATATAAACGACCGTGTACATTGCATTGTGCTAAATATATTGTACAGTCTATATCACGTAAATATATTAATGTGTCGTTAAACCTGCCACCACCAGACACCGCTAACTAGTAAGGGTTGTCACGTAAACAGAACGTGCCAATTCGTCACTAGTACAGCACGCCGGTGTGTTGGAGAGCAAAGCCACAACATTTACAATCTGAGAACGACGTTTCGCCAGTAATT